TAAAATATAGTTCTTATTGCTCATAAATACTCTCTAGATCTGTTCTTTCATCATAACATGTAATTTTTAAATGCATTATAAATATATCTTTTTAAAAAATAGTTTACTTATTTATTTGAAGAGAGAGTGTGTGTGAGTCGGGGAGAGGAGCAGAGGAAGAGAGAATCTCATGCAGATTCCTCACGGAGCACGGAGCCCGAAGCCCTACGCCCAGCTCAGTCTTAAGACTCTGAGGTCATGACCTGAGTCTAAACCAAGAATCCAGTGTTCAACCAACTGAGGCACCCAGCTGCCCCTCATTATAAATATATCTTAATTCGAGTCCGTTCCACCCCTAATCTCGGTTTAGCTTCATATTACCAGTAATTTTACCAGTGTGGGAGAGGAGAGTAGAAAAACTAAACTTTCTCTTCTTTAATAATGATGAAAATAGCAGCCACAAGTAGAATGTTACCTGAAGGTCAGGTTTAAGATATCTCTGAACCCACTATCATAGATAACAAATGCAAAAACATCCTGTGAACTCCTAGCGTAATGTGGATTTGGGGAGTGGGGCAAAGGGTTGATGAGAATGTAGAAGGCTTGTTTCCTGTCATCATAGAGCATAAAATATTTTTTCTTTTATAGCCAAGTAAAATACAAATTGATTAGCACTCAAATGAATGTTCTTTCTCAAGTGAAGGATTATTTATATCAGAAAGGGTAGTGGGTACAAAAATTTTCCAGACAAAGTGGTAATTGAGTTAAGACTTTCAGGATGAAGATGATTTCAGTGGAATTTAAGGGAAAGGTGTGCAAGGAGAATTAGTTTCTGTGAGAGAGAGAGAGAGAGCATGAGAGAGAGAGAGAAAGAAAGAGAGAACATGAAAGGTTGAGGAGGGCAGAGGACAAGGAAGAAGCAGACTCCCCGCTGAACAGGGAGCCTGACTCGGGGCTCCATCCCAGGACCCTGGGATCATGACCTGAGCTGAAGGCAGATGCTTAACCAACTGAGCCACCCAAGCACCCCAACATCAAGTTCTTTTCCATTTTTTGAGCCATGGGTTTTGACAAGTAGGTACTTCCTTGTTAATTAATTCAGCCAGTTTTAGGACTGTTCCATTTGCTTACTTAACCGGTGCTAATTATTATTAGGGCTTACTTATTCTCAGTCTAAAATGTTAAGATGTTGATTAGTAACAAATGGTATGAAACTCATTGACTAGTAATAATGCAAAAGGACGGACTGTGTTTAAAGAGGCTGCTACCATACTCCTCAGTTTCAGAGGGGTTTCACATGCAGTCCTCCTAAATGACCTTCATTGATCACAAGCCCATGGAAGAGGGGTCTTCAGATCTAATTGGTCATACGGACTGAGGCAGGCTATGAATGCAGTGTCTCTCTTACCTAGGGTGGAGGCAGAGGTCCCTGGAGCCAGTAGGCTAATACCGGATATCATTTTGGAGAAGATGGGACAAAGTAAAGATAGTAAATCTGAACTCATACCATCCATTTAGGGGTCTGTGCAAATAGGGAAATGGGTAGGGAGCCAAACTGGAGGTGGGCATGGAGGCCACAGAATGGGGCGATGGGAGGTGGTCTATGTCATACTAGAAAGCAGTAGTTAAGAGAAAATCACTGCTTCCACTTTTCAGGTCAAAGTATTGATGTAAATGTATGGCTATAGTAAATGTACATGAAGAGAGGGAGAGACATACTTGCAGAAGCTTTTATTCACTACAAGTATGGAGATAGTCTCATTTAGTAAGTTTGGAAAGAGGCAAACGTCTCCCCATATGTTTTAACCCTAGCCATAGCATATACTGAATTTTTCTTTAAAAGCCTTTAATCAAAACTTTTTTCTATTTTTAATATATAACATATTAGAAATCCTCCCTCTCCAAATATTGAAAGCTATGATTTTTTATTATCAAACTGACTAGAACACTACAAAGCTAATGAAAAGGGAGTCTTTCTTTGCCAGAGTCTCAGGATAAACATGCCTTGCAAAACATATTCTTTCACCAGTTGTATCTGGGGAAGGGGTGAAAAATAGCAGTGTGCTCTCTGCTTCTCTATTTCACACACGCCACCTTTCAAGAATTTCGGGGTCTTCTTTGAAAACCAAAAGATCTGGATCCCATGAGACACTAAAGGGTTTTTTTAGGAAGGAGAGATTTATAATATGCCAGGTTGAATTTATGGGGAAAAAAAAATAAAAGGAGTTGATTCTTGGGTGGCAGAAAGCAAATAATCCAGCAGACTTAATGATGAAATCTGCAGAAAATACATTTCTTTGACAGTGTTATAAGAGAGCTAGGAAGGTGTGCTCAGTATTCGATTAAAGGCAAAACTAGAAGATCCTGTGTTTGAAAACAAGCTATCCTAAATGAATATGTCAATCTTTAAAGACACTGATCCAGTGGCATTTGGATAAATTTAGACAGTACACCTTCTTTATTACAGTGATATGGGGTATTTGAATTTGTATTGCCAATTTGTAATTCAACGTTATTTGATCTTTGCCTATCTCAAAATATGCATTACAGTCTTTGGTATGCCTTTAACCTTCAATTTACAAACACTGGGTTATCAGGTGTTTTGAGTTTGGGGAGGAAATATTTGAATAGATTTTTTGAAGTGCTCTTATATCTTTCATCTTCAAAATGTACACAGCTTATATTTTGGGTTTGTTATAAACTTTGCTTTTTTAAAGAATGCAAAAATGCTCTAGGTTATTCATCTTTTCAACTTTGTTCTTACTTGTTTGGCGGGGATTGGAGAGGAAGCAGTGACTGCTTAAGGACAAGACGTGCTCCCACACACAAACAAACACACGGGCACACCCAGGAGCATCCATGTGATTTACACCAGTTAATTTACAGATTATTTTTACGCACGTTTTGTGACTTCAGACTGATAAGTAAACATTTATGTTTAAGATATCCGCTTCTTGGAGAACACTGCTTTCCTCCCTCTTCCTCTTTCATGCCACCTTAAAAACAGCTGCAAAGTCTAAAGGAAACCAGCCCACAGTTTAGCCCCGCCTACCAAGGATTAGACTTGAACTTCTCTGTAGTCCCGGCGGAAAAAAGGATCCTGACAGAAAGCCAGAGGCAAAAAGGAGCCAGAAGAATCTCATATAACTCTGGGAACAGTAAGCAATATATTTACTCTTGCCCGGCTCCGCTTCCCTCCCCTCATCCTCCTGAGCTTTTTAAAGTTTGTATCTTACTTGGCAGGGAGAAAGGACGGAGGCAAACCTGGGATTCACTGCTTTACCAAGTCTGCGTCTCCTCTGCCTTTTGGAAACGAGACACAGGTCAGGGAATTTAATTTCTTTCTAACAAATACCAGCTTGCTTTCTGGGGTCTGGAGGTGCAGGGGAGTGGGACGATCAGGTGTTTGTTTCCCTTGCTTAGAGCCCCGAAAGAAAGCGAGCGTTCCAGTGAGGTGCCTCCGGTTAGAGCTCCACGTGATGCCACCCCGTGGTGACCCAGCCCAGACTGGAGCAGCGCGCTGTTTGACAGCCCCAGTGCCTTGTTAGCGATGGAGTTTGGGGGGCTCGGTGACGTTTTAATTTAAAAAAAAATAGTCATTACGATTACTTATGCAAAGCATTCCTGGGTTTTTCATAAGCTGCGGTGCTGGGCGAAAAGAAAGACAATGGAGAAAGAATTGTACACCACCTGGTATGCTGATTCGCCCTGCCCTAAGTTATTTGACGGGCTGGGAGATCAGAGCTCCAAACTAGATGCTGCGAAAGATTTGAGCAAATAATAAAGTTAAGTTTTGAGTGTGAATGCTATTTTGGTCATTTCTTTTTAGAAAAAGAAGTTTAAAAGGGCATTTGGATTTGAAATAAGAGTGTATTAACATATCTAACGCTCCTACAACTTCTGTTCATGGTAGTGTTAAAAAGAATGATTTTCATCTCAAAAACTAGAACAAGAAATGCTCTTCACAAGGGTTGATGATGTAAGCATTTATTCAGCTAAGGTGGTTGAAGAGTATGCTAGAGGCATCTCATTTGGATGGGTATCAATTCTCACTTAACGAACGATATTTGCATATATAACCTTTGAGTTCAAGGAGAATTTGTGTTGTGCTTTGTTTCTGTTTGTTGCAGAAATTTGGAATTGTGGCCCAAGAGATATTTGCAGGGAATAGTAGTGAAACAAACCCTGTGAAGAATTTTTAAATTTTATTCCAGAGGAGCCGGATATTGGGATAGGAAACAAGTATTTGCTTCTGTCCTCGAGCCAAGGAAGAGTTAAATTTTATTTTATTTTATTTATTTTATTTTTTTAATAAAAGCAGATTAATAAAAGAAGTAGATTTTATTTATTTATTTGAGACAGAGAGAATGAGAGAGACAGAGAGCACATGAGAGGGGGAGGGTCAGAGGGAGAAGTAGACTCCCTGCTGAGCAGGGAGCCTGATGTGGGACTCGATCCTGGGACTCCAGGATCATGACCTGAGCCGAAGGCAGTCGCTTAACCAACTGAGCCACCCAGACGCCCCAAGAGTTAAATTTTAAATTAAGCAATAATTGTGAAATGCACAGAGAAGTGTGTATTCTGCATTTGTTCAAAGCAACTTTACAAACTTCCTGAAAGGGCAGCACATTTTATGGGACAAGAAACTAAGAAATCTATTTAATAATTTTCCTTTTTCTACTTAGACATAAATGCAGAATACCCCAGTAGTGATTTACAATGTTAAAAAGATGCATACTTTGGAAGTATTTTGCATTTGCATTTTGCATTTGTGTTTAATTAGGAAAAGGAAAATTATTAAATAGATTTCCTAGGACCTGATAAAGTTCATTCCGGAGAGAGAATTTGGCTGTGTTTTTAACCCATCAGTATCTTTCCAGGTGTCACTACTTAGAAAGCAAAATCATGAAACCAAGCATTTGTGTATTAAAACATATGTTCCAGAAATAAAAGAGGAAGACAGAGTTAGCTCAGGTTCCCTTTCCTGTCATAAGCCTTTTATTTACCTTCCATTTGTTTCCCTCCTCTTGCTTGCAGACTTCATAGCTTTAGTTATTCGCAACTTTTTTTTTTTCAGTCACAGACCCTTTTACAAATCATATGAAAGCTATAGACCCCTCCCCAGAATAATGCATGAATGCTGCTCCAACAGGCACAGATTTGGAAACACTATTAGGAAGATCACAAACGCTCCGAAACAATTCATGTCACATGAACATGTAGTGTTTTTTAGAACTTCGGAGTTTTCTGCTCATATCAAATAATTAGCAAATCATTTTGCTTATAAGAACTGTTGAATGGTGAATATTGCAGTGCCCATACTCTCATTTATTCATTAGTGTTTTGGGACTCTAAGCGGTTTGGTGTAATGGAAAAAACTACTTGCCTGAAAACCAAGTGACCTAGATTCTTGACTCAACCCTTGTAATAACTAACTGAACAATATTAAGCTTGCCTTTTTCTGTAACATCTGATATTTTTTATTGCTGAATGCAGTAAGTAAAACAAATAGGACAATAAGATACAAGTTATATTTTATTGGATTATGGGATGTCTGTATTTACTGCTTTTATTCCAAAATTCCTAACAATATTTCCCAGCAGGATTGTTTTATAATCTTTTTTTTATAAAATATTTTATTTATTTATTTAGTTGACAGAGAGAGACACAGCGAGAGAGG